CTTCAAGCAGCAAAACCTCCAGAGTATAATGTATTATAAGCACCTAGAGCCGCTGTCCATACACGCAAGTCTGCCTCTGTGTAACGATGATGGAGGAGAAAGAAGCATCAACTGAACTCAGAGAGAAAAGGAAAGCTCAGAGTACCAGTCTTAGATATAGAAAAGATGGGAAGCAAAACCAAGCAAGCAAAGAAAAACCCACTTGGTCCCTTCAATCTGTCGTTTCAGCTCTGCTCCACCTTCCATTGTACAGGTTCTCTCTTCCAGCACTTTGTTTCACTGCGCATGACCCGGGACTGGCTAAAATTAAGCTCTGTTTAATAACTAAAGCCACTGAACAATTAATAAATAATAACTGGATGCCATTTCCATGAACCTTTTTGCTGGGTTTTAGCTGTTGTGCTTTGTCTAGGGATAGAGCAAGAATCTAACAGGATTCATAATCCAAGAATAGATGCCAATCAGATTAGAAATAGGTAGATCAGGCTTCTCCAGTATAGAGTGGTGCTGGTTCTGAATATGGGAACTGTAATCCAGCAACTGTAGGTTGAGAAAGGCTTCGTTGGGTGGACTAATAGCCTGACATGTTATAAATCAGTTATTTTGGTGCCCTGTTGGTTCAAGCTAAGCTGATGGCATATACCAAGATCCAGGTCTATAGACCCTGTGTCCTGAGCACACTCCTGTACTGTAGTGAGTCCTGGACCCTTCGTGCCCGGCAGGAGAGAAAGCTGAATACATTGCATATGCGTTGCCTGTGACACATTTTTGGTATCACATGGCAGGACAAAGGTCCAAATTGAGTAGTTCCATAACAAGCTAGAATTGCTAGCATGTATATACTACTGTAACAGCGACGCCTATGTTGGCTCGGGCATGTTGCAAGAATGGCTGATGGTAAGATTCCAAAGGATCTCCTGTATGGAGAATTAGTGCAGGGAAATCACCCCAGAGGGAGACCACAGCTGCGATACAAGGATATCTACAAGGATATCTGAAGGCCTTGGAAATGGATCTCAACAGATGGGAAACCCTGACATCTGAGCGTTCAGCCTGGAGGTAGGCAGTGCATCACGGCCTCTCCCAATTCGAAGAGACCCTTGTCCAGCAGGCCAAGGCAAAGAGGCAGTCACGAAAGCAGCAAAATCAGGGAGCTGGACAGGGGACAGATTATATTTGTCTTCAGTGTGGAAGGGATTGTCACTCTTGAATTGGATTTTTGGTATCACCTGGCAGGACAAAAGTCCAAACTGAGTAGTCCCGTAACAAGCTAGAATTGCTAGCATGTATATACTACTGTAACAGCGACGCCTATGTTGGCTCGGGCATGTTGCAAGAATGACTGGGTCCAGCAAGCTGAGGTGAAGAGGCAATCACTAAAGCAGCAAAATCAGGGAGGTGGACAGGGGAGAGATTGTATTTGTCTTCAGTGTGGAAGGGATTGTCACTCTCGAATTGGCCTTCTCAGCCACACTAGATGCTGTTCCAAGTCCTCCATACAGAGCACGTTACCATAGTCTCTCAAGACTGAAGGATGCCGAATCTAATCTGGTTCAAGATGGATTGTACAAGTTTGGCAAAAGGGGAAAGAGGATGGAGGAAAGAGTGGGAAGCCCTGGGTCTGAGCACATGATGCCTTTATGTGTTCCATGATGATTCTGCCTATTTTGCATTTTTTTTTCTGGCCAGAGAAAAGCGGCTGGAGGCAGTATGCACTCAGAGCTGGGTGGATTCACATTTCTTCAGTAGCATATGGCAACATGAGGCTCACCCTTGATACCCTGGGTCAAAAAAGAGACCCTTGTCCAGCAGGCCAAGGCCCTTGATACCCTGGGTCAAGATCCCAGTTGACCTGTCCTAATTATGGCTCTGATATATTTCATGCAGGTCGAGGCAGAGCCTGGGATTCAAAATGTATCTTCTACTGCCTCAGATCTTTCCTATTATCTGACACCTTTGGTATCAGGGCAAAGCATAACTCTTGGCGATTCTCTGTGATTCTCTTTTGCTCTTGCCCCAATCAAATGATTTTCCACATCCAAAGTATCAATTGCTACTCTTGGAAGACTGTGGTAGTGGCAATTCACAGAATAAAATGAATCCTAGCCTCCCAATGTTCATTATTAAACAAACAAACAAACAAACAAACAAATAAATAAATAAGGCCACTACTTCCACCCTCTGCCCCCACATTTCCAGTGGTCCACGTGGCCACAAATTGCCCCTGCCATCATGCTGAATTTGCCCACCCCACAAACAAACAAATAAATAAATAAGGCCACTTCCACCCTCTGCACCCACCACATTTCCAGTGGTCCACGTGGCCAGAAATTGCTCCTGCCATTATGCTGAATTTGCCCACCCTATATTTCAATCAAGATGCTAGCCATCAGCCCTGATATCTTCAGGGCGATGGAAAACATACTTCACAGCAGCGACCTGAGGGCTGGTGCTCTGTCACTGGGCAGATGCTTTTTTAGGTGGCAGATTCTGGGTGTCCTGAAAGGGCGCCAAATCGTTACTTCTTTTATTATGGATGTGTGCGTTTACTGCTACAGACGTGGAAAGGGGCTTGAGGGCATTTTTTGCCTCCTGTGTCCAAGTTAGGCCAGTTCCTCAGCGGCCGTTTCCTACCCCACCTGAGGCAGCAGAACGGCTTGGGCGGCCCCCAAGCAGCTGAGAAGTCACCTCGGGACTTTCGGCGCTTCTTTCTGCCCAAAACTTGGTGCCCTCGACATCTCGGGCGCGCGCGCGCGTGTCAAAGACCGCCGGCGAGCCTCTCCACAGACCCCGGCTGGGGAGGGGGCAAGCGGGGGAGATGGGTTCCCCCCCCCAAGAACGTCTACTCTTCAGTTCTCGGCTCTTCGGAACGGAGGCCGGCGAGCGGCCTCTTACCTGGAAAGCTGCTCTCGGGCCGTCAGGAGCCCGGCGGCGGCGAGATGCGGTGGCGCACAGCGCCCCCTACTTACCGCCGCGTCCGGGAGAGCGCGGTCCGTGGGAAGGAGCGCCCGGAGAACGAGCCCTCAGTGAGGGAAAGCGAGCGAGCGAGCGTGTGGCACAAAGTCCGGGCTGGATTTGCGCGCCGCGGCCAGGTCGCGTAAGAGACAAGGGAGAGGGGCAGCGGGCCGCCGGGCGGAGAACAGCAGCCGGCTGGAAAGAGCCGGCTGCTGGTCTAGAGAGCCCTCGTCTGGGGGCAGCGGGCAAGCCCGGGCGGCTCATGGGCTCCGCTGGGCAGCGAGCGCGCGGGTCCAAGGCGCGTTTGCAAGACGCGAGGGAGCGCCAGCCACCACCACCCCGTTTTCCTCCTTCCAAACTTTTGAGGGGCGGCCCACGTGCTTCCTCGCTGGCCTCACCCGCCGCTGTTCCCTGAGGGAAGCGCGAGAGCAGGCGGGCTGCGGGGCACCGGGGCTCCTCTCCTGCGCCGCTGCCGCCCGCGCTTTGCAGGGGAGGTAAAGCAACCGCCTCGCGCGCGGGGTTGGGG